ATTTCCAGGTGCTAGAGCGTTTGATTTCAGCAACAATCGATAATAGGTAATGTGTAACGATTATTTACATTACTACACCTGTAGTACATCCACTCGCTTGTTCTCCTGTACTCTCTGTATGTGCCAAATATTCGACAAACAATATTTATGGATTTTTTTGTAGCTTCACTCTTTCTTCTCATCTCTACTATATAGTCTCTTTCCCCTATATTCTGATCTCTCCCTGTTTTCAACTCGGGGAAGTTTTCTTGAAATTTTCCCTTGATTTCTTATTTCCGGTGATTTGTATGACGTAGTTTGTTCCTTTCTCCTGTTACCGTATGCGACAATAGTATGTGTTGTTCTCGAAAGCGTTGTGATTTTATATTTTAATTTGGTAAATAAAATTAGTTATAGATAGCGCGGTTGCGGTGATGACCGGCGAAACCGCCAAAACCCCTCCGGTAAAAGCGGATGCGACAACTGCGCAGATAGATGAGAAAGCGAAGTTTGCCGTACCGGAGTGGGCCACACGACCGCCTGCAGGGTCACATCTGGACGTGTGCAAGGGCGATCAGCTTATTCAGGTTGATTTCGAACAAACATACTTAACCCAAATTTAAAATATTGTTGTTCACAGAAGCTGATGATTGACGAAAAGCCGGCATACTACTTTGGCCGCAACCCGAAACAAGTGGATTTTGCTGTAGAACATGCCTCATGCTCACGAGTACATGCTCTACTTATGTACCATGGCGTATTAAAACGATTCGCCCTTGTAGATATGGAAAGTAGTAAGTTTTTATCTATCAATTTTGAGTGGGACAATTTCGAGTTTTAAAGAATTAGTATGTTTAGGTCATGGTACTTTTCTCGGAAATATACGATTGGAACCGCTTAAGGTTGTATTTGTCGACATCGGCGTACCTTTCCATTTCGGAGCATCAACTAGAAGGTTGGAAAGTGTCTTACCTTCACCTGATTTTATGAATTTTTTCCATTTGGTACGTAATCGAGCAGAATGGCGCGTTAATAGTCAAGCACAGTATTCTTCAAATTCTAAGCAATGCAAAAATTAAGACTCATAACAGACAAATTTTTTCCGTATTGCTCCTATCTTGCTGCAATTTTCGCTTCTTCCTTTAATACAACACGTATAAAATAATGATTGTGAAGTATGTATAATTTGGTAATACCTTTCGCTGAGTAGAAGAGGAAGTAAAAGATCCTGACGTTTTGCACCTCTCTCATCCTTTCTCCTCCTTCTTCATCCTATAAATATCATAAGCCTTGTATACCAGATGTGTTATCCTCATCTCATT